TGTATATGTGTACATATATGTGAGTGTATGAGTATGTATATACTATCTGTGCATAAGTGTGAGTGAATGAGTATGTATGTGTAGTATATGTGTATAAATGTGAGTGTGTATGTGTGTGTGAGTCTGTATGTATAGATGTGTGTATGTATGTATAAGTGTATGTGTGAATGAGTGTGTATGTATGAGTGTTGTATATGTGCATGTGTGTATGTATATGAGTGTGGGAATGAGTGCATGTGTATGTATATAAATGTGAGTATGTGCATGTGTATGAGTATGTATATGTGTATAAGTGTGTGTGAGTGTGTATGTATGTATAGGTGCATGTGTGTAGTTGTGTGTGTGTGTGAGCAGGGCTAGCTCCTCTCGAGGATTTCTCAGCCTTCAGCCTATGGGTCGAGGGGTGCAGGATAGGTCTGACTGCAATCGTACCAACCCCCACCCAGCGCTTCTCAGGGGACATCACTGAGGGGATTTCTGATCAGGCCCAGGTTGGACTAGATCTCTTCTAAAAGTCCCTCCTCGCTTGGAGATTCTGTGATTGTTTCAATACCGTCAGCTGCGGCTTCTCCTGGGGTGGAGGAGGAAGCTGGGGTTCTAAGCCCCGGATAATCTCAGACTTCTCCCACTTTGTACCAGGGGCCTTCTCTCCCTCTTCTCCACCCCTGCCCCGTCCTGGCCAGCTCAGCCCATTCATCTTCCTCTCCTTGTTTGATCTGGAGTGTATTCTGAGAGCATCTCCCAGGGAGCTGATCCTGGGGTGGGCCCAGACCCAGAGCTCGGGAAGGGAGCCGCCCTAAAAAGAGGCTGGCTGGTCTGGGATTTGGCCTTTTCTGTAGTTAATAGGATTCCTTGCGGGGTGGGTGGGCGGGGTTGGTGCTTAGCCCAGCTGGGGGGGGGTGGCGGCTTCCTGAGCAGTGGGTGGCAGTAGGGATGGGGCTCTAGGCTCACCCCCACCCCTCCTGACCCTGTGGCTTAGGTGAAGACAGAGATCAGTGTGGAGAGTAAGCATCAGACCCTGCAAGGCCTCGCCTTCCCGCTGCAGCCGGAGGCCCAGCAGGCCATTCTGCTGCTAAAACAGAAGAAAATCAACTATATCCAGCTGGTGAGGCCCTTCCCCCCATTCCTCCAGGCTGCCAGGACCCCTGCTTTCAACCCTTCCCTCCTGTGTTCATTCTTCCCCCCCAAGACTGATTCAATCCTTCGGGCATGTTCCCTGTGAAGGACCTTTCCTTTCAGAGACACGTCCCCCAGGGTAGAGATTGCCCTGTAGCAGACTTTCTCTTAGAAGGATGCTGCCCTTACAGCATCATTGCTCTGTTAAGGAACTTCCCCTCAAAAGGCAGTTCTTTTATGGAGGGGAGGGGGTGGGGTCCTTATGAAAGAGTTTGTAGAGGAATTTCTGCATAGAAGGGTGCCCTGATAGAGGAGCACCCCTCATGATAGGAGCCGTGGGTGCCATTTTATCTGGTGTTAAAGCACTTCACACACAGAATTTCATTTTGAGGCTAATAGTAAGTATAAGACAGGGACTATGGGAATTGTTGTTATCCTCATTTTTACCGATGAAGGAACTGAGGCTCAGAGTGATGTGGCCTGCCCAGGGTCACACAAACTAGTACACTGGTTCTGAGAAGGTGTGCGCCCTATTGTGGCCGGTTATGATGGATGCCAGTTCTCCCTGGCATTGGGTGCCGACGTGAGGGCTTCAGTATTGATTGGGTCACAGTGGGCAGTGAGCAAAAAACGTTTGCGAACTGTTGAGCCAATGTCAAAGGTTGGCCTTCAACCCAGGTCTCTCCTGACTCTGGACCACCCTGACCTCCCTGCCATCATCACCTTCACTGTTACAGCTGCTCCCCTTCCTTTATCAATCCATTCCCCCCCATAGTGGGACTGCCCTTACAGAGAGGTATTACCCCCGTTAAGGACGTGGCCTTATGGAGATCTTTCTAGTATAGTAGAATTTCCCCAGTAAAGGAGCTGCCCTATAGGGACCTTTCCCTAGTAGGTTCAGCCTTGGTCCAAGGGCATCAGACGGGGACCCTCAGATTTTCCCTTGGAGAGGAGCGGTCCCTGTAGTCAAGTTTCTCCTCTGGTGCAGTTGTTTCCATGAAGGTCTGGGGAGGGTGGTGTTGGCTGGGAGCCTGGGACACCAGGGCCCAGCCCTGCCTTGACAGGGGTTGCCTCCCCCAGAAACTGGACCTGGAGAGGGAAACCATCGAGCTGGTCCACACGAAACCCACAGAGGTGGCGGATCTGCCCAAGAGGGTGCCCCAGGACTCTGCCCGCTACCACTTCTTCCTCTACAAACACTCCCATGAGGGCGACTACCTGGAGTCTGTGGGTGAGCAGGGACTTAGTACTGGGGGCAAGGTGCAGGGATGCCAGGACAAAGGGGGGGGCACCAGGATCTCCGAGGTGGGATGGAGTGGGGGAGGAAGGGGAGAGAGGGTGGTGTGGGTGCAGGTGGAACCCTGGGGTGCTGGGGGCAGAGAGGCTCCTGGAGGGAGGCTGTGCGCTCAGCTCTGACCCCCACCATCTTCCATTGGCCCATCTGCCCGGGGCGTGCCACCCCCCACCTGCAGTGTTCATCTACTCCATGCCCGGATACAAGTGCAGTATTAAGGAACGGATGCTGTACTCCAGCTGTAAAAGCCGACTGCTGGACTCCGTGGAACAGGATTTCCAGTTGGAAATTACCAAAAAGGTGTGTGTGGTGGGGGGGTAGGCCTCAGTGGAGGCTCCTGAGAACCCCACTACCTACTCCTCCTTCATTCCCCATCCATGATACATCATCCTAGACTGTTCTCCTGAAGGAGTCTCTTAGCTCAGGGAAAACTCAAAGGCTCAAGTCACTTGGGTTATAATTCCAGCTCTTGGTAATGTGATTCCCCTGCTTGGGCCTCAGGTTGCCTATCTGTACAATGGGAGAGTTGGACTAGTGTGAACTTCTAGCTCTGACATCCTAGGATGTATCTCACCAAAGCCTTATGACAGCCTGTGAGGGAGGTGGGGCAAAGATATTAACCCCATTTTACAAGTCCCAGTGAGGCTAAGGGATTGAAAGAGTGAAAGAGGCAGGATTAGAACCCGGAGGTCCCGGGTCACAGCCGAGGACTCATTCTATGTGTTGCAGAGAAGGAGGCAGGGCGGGCTTCTCACACTGATTGTCTGGAAAGGGAAACAGGCCCAGAAGGACTGAGTCACCCTACATGTTTGTGTCAGGGTTGGGACCAGAACCCAGATGCACGCCCTGATTCATCACTCAGGGCTCTTGCCCCCTTCCCTGCCCCAGGGACCGTTCCTTACCTGGGTTGGAAGGACATATGCTCCAAGGGTTCAGATGTCAGCGTTTTGGGGATATTGCTTCATGGATGTGAGAATGTGGGCTAACTATAGGTGTTGGAAACTCCTCAGAGTCAGGGTTGAGAGGTAAGAGGGCCCTAGATCTGAGTGGATCCATCTCGGGGTTCTGAGAGACAGGCGCTGGGGTGCCCCCTGCTCCTGAGCAGACTCTCTTCATTCCACAGACCTAGTCCAAGGCTGAGCGTTCTGGACCTCCTAGTTCTCAGTGGGGTGGCATGGGGGCATGAGGGCCTGTCCAGTCTAAAGCCCCCTCCCCACTCTCCCCAGATGGAGATTGACGATGGGGCAGAGCTGACGGCGGAGTTCCTGTATGATGAAGTCCACCCCAAACAGCACGCCTTTAAGCAGGCCTTCGCCAAGCCCAAGGGCCCGGTGGGCAAGAGGGGCCAGAAGCGGCTTATCCGGGGCCCTGGAGAGAATGGGGATGAGAGCTAGGCAAGGGCCCGGCCCTCCTGTACCTGTCGTCTGCCACAGGCTGAGCTGGAGTGGGCTGAGAACTGTTTGGTGTCCTCGATCACAGTGACCTGGGCTCAGCCTGACTCTGGCACCTGGAGAGGCCCCTCCCCTACCCCCAGGAGTTACTGTGTGTTTGCGCTTTCTTTTTCTGTCTCTCTTCCCCTTTTTCTCTCTCTCTTCCTCCTCTCACTGTCAACCCTGAGGGAGATGTGTGAATTCCTGTCACCCATAGCGTCACTGTCCTGTCGTCATCTGTCTCTTCTCACCGAGCTCACCCTGTGCTTATTTCCATCTTGGCCACCTTCACGTCCACCACTCTCCATCTCTGTGTCCTCAGCCCCTCTCCCCTAATCACTCTGCCTGTTGAATTGAGTTGAGCACCTGCTTTTGTGTTCTGCAGGCCCCACCACCCCCATTTGTGTTACCCCCGCTCCCATGCCTGTACCGGACATTCTTGTCCGTCCCTGCACACACCATCTCCATCTTTATCCTTCCCTGTGCCCTCTGTCCCTGTCCTCAGTCTCTCCTGCCGAGGTTGGGAGAATAGGGCTAGGCTTTTTTTCTTTTATTTTGAGATGGGGGAACACCACACCTGGCAGGCCTTCTAGGTTTTAGGGAGGAGATGGGCAGAGGGATGTTTGCTGAGGCTAGGGAGTGGAAGTGGGCTGCCTCGGGGTGAATAGGAGAGGATGTTAGCTGGGACCTGAGCCCGACTCAGTTCTGAGACCCCCACCCCCCAGGATGGCAAGTGAGCTCTGGGTATGATGGTGGGAGTTCAACCCTCCCCCCTCCCCCGGAGGCTCAGGGCTTAGCTGGGCAAGCAGGGATGGGGGGGGTCACTGAGGGAGTGCAGGACTTACTGGGCTGAATGCTGTATTTTCTAAGGAATAAAGTATTTTTAAATCAACGTCTCCATTGGTTCTTCTGAGGGCAACTTTCCTGGCAGGGGTGGGGCACTACCCCTTCCTTTAAAGGGGTACCAGTCACCTCTTGATTTGTTCATATATGTCTCCCATGCAAATATGTGTCTGCAAATAGAATCACTGAGTGATTGGGAGGGACCTCTGAGACCTCTCATTTTATGTGTTTTATGAATGTAAGGGAAAAGGCCTTGCCCTGCGTCACTCACACCTCTTCTCTCCAGCTCCAGACTGCATCAGTAACAGCTTTTTGCATCTGAAAACACTTTATTGGAGGTTTCTGAGATGCCTCCCCAGTGGCCTGTGGGGGTGGGGATGGGTTTGGTACTGATGGAGCTCAGCCTGAAGTCTTCCCCCCACCCCAAGTTTCTAAAGCTGCCCCCTCCCCTGGGGGTCACTAGCACCATTGATCACAGAAATGGAGGGCCAGACACAGCACAACAGAGGACACACAAATAGATTGGTGTGGAATCCTTACCAGCAATGAGCCTGGCATTGTGTGAACGTGTTCCTGTGTCATTCCACAAAGGGAGGGCCTCCTGTGGTCAGGAGACCTTGAGGGTGGACAGGGAGCATAAGGTGAGGAGAGCTAGCGGTGGGGCTGGTGGGGTGGGCCTAGGGTCCTGTATGGTTTGAAAGGCTCTAGCCTGACCCTTGGCCTCTTGGGGTCATAGGACCATGGGATTTTAGAGTTTGAATGGACCTTAGCTATATGATCTTGGGCAAGTGATATAAGCTCTTGGCTTCAGTAACCTCATCTGTAACAATGTTGAACTAGTGGGTCTCTAAGGGACCTGGAGGCCTAAGACTGTGGTCTTATCTAATAGTAAAAACCAGAGAGAAATGATATGCCCAAGGTTACAGCATCATAGATGGAGGTTAGATAGGGCCTGAGAGGCCCTGTAGTCCAACCTCCTAACTTAGGGAGGTAAGTGACCTGCCCACGGGCATGCACATGGTCATCATCAGAGGCAGAGTTTAAATCCAGGTCTTTTGACTATAGCTTCAGTATTCTTTCCAAGGGGCCACCTCCTACCTTGAGCTTTGAAGACCTTATTTTAGAGGGTGGGAAGGAATTTCTCCCCACTTCTGCAGGTGACTGTGGCACAGAGTCCATGCCCAGAGCCCCCCAAGGCTGGCAGCTAGAAGCGGCGGGGACAAGGATGGTGCCTCCCCAGCCTGGTTCCTTTCCTGGCACCTGTCCCCCTGCCAGCCCTGGTAGCAGTGACAGATAAAGTCTCTGCCCAGGGCCTCCTGCTGCCTGGGACCCAGTCGGCCTCGAATGGAAGCCTGGGTGTGGTTGGCTGCCGTGGTCACGTGGATCTGGAAGGTGCTGGGCTCCAGGTGCAGGTAGGTGGGTGAGTCGGGGATGCGACGGCGACAGCGGCCGTGCCCGTTGCACTGGGTCCGGCTGCAGAGGGCAGCTGCCGTGGTCACGTTTAGCACGTAAGGGCCCAGTCTGCTCAGCAGGTAATGGCGCATCTTTAAGCAGGTACTCTGGTGGGAGAACAGGGCGAAATGAGGAGGAGGGGTAGTGGCCTCTTTGGATCACCCGCTTGTGGAGGTGAAGAAACCTAGAACCATAGCAGTGTCTGAGCCAGAAGGGTATTTGAGAGACCATTTCATCCAAACCCCTCATTTTTCAGTTAGGGAAACTGAGGCCCAGAAAGATTTTAAAAAGAAAAAAAAACTTACCCAAGGTACCACAGTAGGTTGGAAGCAGAGCCAGAACTTCAGTCCAGATTCCAAATTTCTAGTCCAGGGCTCTCTCCACTAAACTATTATGTACTTCCTGTATTTGAAATCATCGAGCAAAGGGGCCTCCCTTAGTCACCCATAGGTTTGATTGGGAACTTTTGTCTTTAGTCTAATTTCCATGTCCCTCTACAAGAAGCATCAAGGGTCCCCCACCTAGGAAGGAAGACGCGACCTAGAAGCTCTCTGTCCTGCGGCACATTTCCCTAGGGTAACAGGAGTGGAGAAAACCGTGGGAGCTGATTCAGGGGGTAGGGTCCCTATTTGCAAGTCATCTCTTGATATATTTTGGCTTTGGACTGGCTCGGACTCCTGCCTCTGCTAATTCTGCCCAGGTGGCTTTGTGCCGGCTGCCGCCCATCCCCTCACACCCTGAGCTCGGCCTGCTATTTGGAAGCAGGATGTGGAGTGGCTATTTGCCGTGTTCTGCTTTCATCCCCACCAGGCTCCAGCCCCAAGCCCTTCTGCTTACCTGGTTCCTGGCGTAGTCTGCCTCCCCCCAGAGCACCACTCCCTGGGCTCCCATGGCAGCTGCTTGACCAATCGTGTGCTCCAGGTCAACCTTGGGGTTGGGGAAGAAGGGAAAATACAGTTCTATCCATTTTTCGGTCCTGGTTCAAGGCTGCTCCAGCCCCAGACCTCATCTAAACTCCCTTGTCCCCGCTACTGCCTCGTTCCTTATCTCTGTGGAGGACCCAGCCTTTGACCCAGCCCCTGCCACTGCTTCTTGGGTGACCTGATGCTGAGGATGACCAGGAGCTGGTCATGGTGGAACCACCACTCTGCCTAAGGCTGAGAGAGCCTTTGGGGGATGGAGATCGGGAATTTTGAGGGGTGGGAAGGTAAGGATCTGGGCTGGTTGAAACTCCCTGGGAATGTCCCAGATCTAGAAATACCCTCTGGGAGGGAAAATAGCAGAACTGAGAATGCTGTGTAGTCACAGTGCCAGGATGACAGCTTCACATTCACGCAAGGCAGCTCAGTTCATCGAGACCAGTGAGGCCAGTGGTCTGACTCCTCCATCCACACCAAGCTCCAATTGCCAGGGTCACAATTTCCTTCCTGTACCCTCAACCTGGTGCACGAGTCCCTGCACATAGGAGGTGTCTAGTAAACGCTTCCAGGATTGAACCTAATTCATAGGAATCGGAGCTGGAAGAACCTGAAAGACCATCTCATTCAGACCTTCCTGCAGATGAGCAAGGACTGAGAGAGGGAGGGGAGGCAGGAGAGGGAGAGGGAGGAGAGGAAGGAGGACGGGAAGGAAGGAAGGAGGAAAGGAAAAACGGAAAGAAGCATTTACTAGACACCTACCATGTGACAGCTAATGTAAAGCTAATTGCTTTACAAATATTATCTCATTTGATCCTCACAACAACCCTGGGAGTTAGGGGTTTTTATCCCCATTTTAGTTGAGGAAACTGAGTCAGGCAGAGGTCAAGTGATTCGCCCAGGTTCACACAGCTAGTAAATGTCTGAAGCCAAATTTGAATTCAGGTCTTTAGGACTTCTTCATGCCACCTAGCTGCCTGAGGGGAGTGACAAGCCCAAATTCAGCCAGCTAGTAAGAAGCAGAGGAGGAATTTGAACCCAGGTCCTCTGGCTTCAAGTCCAAGGCTCTTCCTTCAGTACCAGACTGGCTCAGCCTCCCCTGCCACCCCTTTGCTCTCCTTTGCCCAGAATCAGCCTCTCATAGAGGTCCGCTTACAGCCACACCTACAGTCACTCTGGGTCCTAGGACAGTCCCAGCACCTTTGAGGGGCCAGGTGCCAGTCTAGCTCCGCACCTGTGCCAGCTCCTTCAGGGTATAGGAGTAGAAGGGTCGGGCATACACAAAGACAGGCAGTGAGTAGCTGGCAGAGGCGGGCAGTTCGGCCACCCTCAGGGCCTCCCACACTTTGGCCCTTACAAAGCGCTCGCCCTGGGCAGAGCCTCGCAGCACCTCCTCCAGGTAGATGGAGGGGTACAGAGCCCGGCTCTGCTCCCACAGCCAGAGCAGGGCATCGTTGCGCTGCCGCTCGATGCCTGGGCAGTGCCCTGTGAAGTTTTCAAAGTCCTCCCAGTAGTGGTAGTTGTAGCAGTCAGGGAAGAGGTAGTAGCCCCACCAACCCCCGGGCCTCCGTGCCCTTGCCAGGCGCAGAGTCTCGGACATGAAGCGGGCGGCTGCTGTCTCGAACTCCCACTGGGCTTGGAGCTCCACCCGACCCTGGGGCCAGGTAGGGTAGCGCTGGCGCACCAGATGAGCAGACATGGTGCGGTAGACGCCCTTCTTGTCCCAATTCCGGACCCAGAGCGGACGCCAGGTCTCCCAGTCAATGACAGAAAGACCAGAGAAGGCCCGGGAAGGGATGGCCGCCTCCAGGTCACGTTCCATGGCATCCAAGTGGGCACGGAGGCTGGCATTCTGTGGGCAGCCACCATGCACTGGCAGAGGCACTGGAGCTGGGTCTGCCTGGTAGTGTGGGTATAGCCCTAGCTGATGCTGGTAGAAGATGGTGATATTGCCACCAGCAAAGACCTCCTGGTCGTTGGCTACCACACCAAAGGGCTCAAGGGGCAGGGGCAGGCCGAAAGCTGTACGGCAGCGGGAGGTGGGAGCATTCCATACCACTAGGAAGGGCCGGTTCTGTAGCACTGGGGACAGTGACGGCTTCAGCGTCCAAGGGTCCGTGGGGCTGGCTGAAAGTAGTAGCAGCAGCAGGAAAAGATGGAGGCGGAGGTTCAGAGGCCCAGGCTGACCTTGGAAGCTCAGTGCTGAGGATCTGGAAAGGGAAAGAATATTGCCATAAGACAAAGTCCCTAATGGATTGTTCCTCTGCCCTCAGGCTCCCATCCTGACCCTCATGGCTGGGGTTAGAGTCAAGTGGAAAGCTCCTATTAAGGCAGTTTGGGGAGCTCCATTCTGGGGATACAAATGTTGATCCAAACCTACCTAGTATTTCTTCCCTGGGTTCTAAAGGCCCTGCCAAGAGGGCCTTGTCCCCAGAACCGCTCTGGTCCTTTGTCACTCAGGACTCTTGGCTGGGAGAAAGTGGGGGAGACTCCATCTTTCAGGGGAAAAGATGATAACAGAAGCAGTGGAGACACCAAACCTTTCTCATCAGTCCGGCTGGACACCTCCCAACTCCCTGAGTCTGATTCCATGGCTAAGGGTTATCATTCTGCCTGACTCTCCGGAACATTCCCATCTCCTTGGCCTCAGGGCATCTGTCCCCTTTATACCAATCAGCTGTCCTTTCTACACCTATCTTTCCTCTCTCCCTTATCTCCTCTCTCATCACCTCATTTTCCAGGAAAACACCAACCAGCACCCTCTGATCCTGGACCTCCGGGGTGGGCATCAGTTAGAGAAGGGTAACCATGGCAACCACTGTCTTCCCAAAGCCCCTAACACCCCACACCCCTCCCATCCCCGCAACCTGTGTAGGAATGTAGGTCATGCTGAGAGCGGAAGGGGCGGGTGCCTGTGCATCTGATAGGGTCATCCCTGCAGTGTACCCCATAATTCTATGCTCCCCTGCTCTGGGCAGTGGGGTAGTCTGTCCTCCACTCCCCCTTCCACCAACTCTGTGAGTGCAAGATGCAGAAAACCTGAGAGTTTGGGGGAGTCACAGCTGAGTGAGGGGGGCTGGAGACAGAAGTCGTGGCCACCACCCCACATAGGGGAAGCTCAGTAACTAGGGCTCTAAACTTCCCTAAGATAGAAGGTGAGATAATGCCCTCCTGCAATAATCTCTCCTGTCACACCTAGACTAATTTCCTCTATTTCTCCAAGGAGCCCTTTTCCTGAAAGAGAGGTGATAGCCTGCCTCTGCACCCCCACCCCCCACCAACTACAATATGGTAAATCCTTTCTACTCCAGGAAGAATGGGCAGCTCAACCCTCCTTTGCCCTGTCTCTAGCCTAGGAGCCCCAAGTAGGGAATGGGATGAGAGGAAAAAAGGGAGAGATCAACCCATCAATCAACTAACAAGTACTTCTTAAACTCTTATTGTGTGCCAGGGTGCTAGCCTCTGGGGGTATAAAGACAGAAATGAAATGGTCCCTGCCCTCAAGACAGCTAGGTGGCACAGTGTATAGAGTGCTGAGCCTGGAGTCAGGAAGACTTGAATTCAAATCTAGTCATAGACACTTATTAACTGCATGACTTTGGGTAAGTCATTTATTTAACTTTTGTTTGCCTGTAAAATGGGGATAATAAAAGCAACTACATCCCTAGGGTCATTGTGACAACTGAATGAGATAATATTGGTAAAAGCAATTAGCACAGTGCCTGGTACATCATAGGCATTATATAAATAGTAGCTATTATTATTATACATTTTATTTGGAGGAGATAAAACATGTATAAAAATATGCAAAACAAAGTGATTTGGTGGGGGAGGGCACCAGTAGCTGGGGTGGGGGGGGGCTGTGTGTGTGTCGAGAAAAGGTGGTTTGTGAGTTGAGTTTTGAAGAAAATTAAGGATTCTTAGAGTTGGAGGTTGGAGGAGTCTGCATTCAAGGCATGATGGTGGTGGGGGGAGACAGTAAGTGGACTATGGAAAGAGGAGTAGTTCTATATTCAAGGAATAGTAAGAAAAGGTCAATCTGGGTGGACATCCGAGTTTGGGAAAGGAAATAATGTATCACCAAGCCGGAAAGAGAAGTTGAGGCCAGGTTCCAGACACAGTTTTCTATTTCATCCCAAAGGCAATAATGGAGGCATCAGACTGTATTGAGTAGTTCAGTGACTCATCTGGTCTTTAGGTAAATTACTCTGTGGAGGAGGGACTTGAATTGGGAGAGACTTAAGACACCCGGACCAATTAGGAGGTAGTCGCCATAACAGGTGAGAGGGTGACGGCTGGTGACTAGTGAGAAGGGGTTGGATTTGAGAGATATTGTGGAGGTAAAACCAGCAAGGTTCGGTAACACTAGGAGGGAGGAGTCAGGAAGACCTGAGTTTGAATCCTGCTTCAGAATTCTTCCAAGTGTGACCTTGGACAAGTCACTTTAATGTCTCCCAGTCTCAGTTTTCCCCTAGGTAAAATGGGGACAATGACCCTACCTAGGTCACAGAGTTGTTGTAAGGATCGAAGGAAACATGTAAAAGACATTTCAAACTTTATAGGGCTATGAAAATGTCTGCTTCTGGGGCAGCTAGGTGGCGAAGTGGATAGAGCACGGGCCCTGAAGTCAGGAGGACCTGAGTTCAGATCTGGCCTCAGACCAAACACTTGACACTTACTAGCTGTGTGACCCTGGGCAAGTCACTTAACCCCAATTGCCTAAAAAAAAAATGTCTGCTTCTGCTGCTACTGCTACTACTGCTATACATGGACAGGGTGAATGAGAAGGAGGAGTCAAGAAGATTGTCTGGGCTTCAGATATATTTCCCTGAAAGGGTAGTGGTAGCCTTAACAGAAAGAAGGAAGTTCCAAAGGAAGAGTGGGTTTGGAGCTCTGTTCACGAGCTCTGTTCCGAGCATGTAGAGTTTAAGATGTTCATGGGACATTTGTTTGAAATGTCCAGGAGGCCATTGGTAATAGGGCACTGGAGCTCAGGACTGAGCCTGGGGCTGGCTGTATCTGGGAGCCATTGGCAGAGAGAAGACAATAATCTAATGGAATGATGAGATCTCTACGTGGAGAGTAGAGAGAGAGGAGGGTCTCGGGGAGAGCCTTGGAGCACATCTACAAGTAGAAGTCATGATGTGAATGAAAAGCCAGCAAGGGAAACTGAGGACAGTCAGATAGGTGGTATTGTTGTTCGGTCGTTTTAGACTTT